GATATTGAAACATCGAATGACTTTGATATTTACCAACCGAGTGATCTGGTTATACGTGAAACGTCAATTTACAACAATTTTAGTCATGAATCGCTTTACACCGAAACAACGCGCCGAAATAGTCACAATGTACATTGAAAATCGTCGTTCAGTTGTGTTAACGCAACGTGCATATCGTCGAAAATATCGTGGAAAACAGGCACCGTCTGACAACACTATCCGTCGTTTGGTTTCGAATTTTCTTGAGTACGGGACAGTGGGAAATCGCCAACATACCGTTCATCAACGACCAAGACGTTCCATTGAATTGGTTAAAGGTGTCAGAGACAGCGTTGCCCAGAATCCAAAAGTGTCCTATCGTCATCGCGCTGAAGAACTGAAGGCAAAGATTCGTACCGCAATCGCCGATATACCACCAGAGATGCTCGAAAAAGTAATGGAAAACGCAGCAAGACGGGCACATTTTGTTTTGGCCAATAAATGTGGCCACTTGATAGATGATGTGTTCAATAACTAGTCCCAATAAATTTTAAAGGACCATATTTAATAAAAATACCCGATATATAGAAATCAGTTTTTCGTTTTCAAAGTTATTTCATGCTTACATACCGACATAAAAGATGGCGCACCCGGTATATTGAACAAATCTAGGTACTGAACCTGTCGAAATGAACTGACACTACATAGTTGTAGTGTTTTCCGCAAAAAAAGAAGTATTGTCCAGAGTTGATGAAACAGTAGCTATTGTTACACTAACTACTACAATCCATCAAGTGTTTCCCTATCAAATGAAACAAAAGCCAGGAAAATACACCTCGTGACCTTGATATTACATTTCCGCCATCTTGTTCCCGCGTTTGTTTTCCAATGTCAACTAAATCGTACCATCGTACATTACGTAACATCATACATTCCAATTATCTACTCGTCTGTTGAAGTAAACCAATTCCAGAAGGACTGTAGATCATATGACCTTGACATTATATTTTTCGGATGGTTTCTCTATACGTTCACCAACTTCAATAAAACGATAGCTGCTATACAAATCATCCATTCTGATTCACTACCAGGCTTCCTAGTAAATAACCTGTACACCACATGACCTTGAATTTAGATTTCCATAATGGCATCCATGATAAAACCTATATCAACAAAATGATATCTACCATGCAAAGTGACCATTTGAGTCCTATTAAATAAAGCGTATCCTAAAAGGATGAAAGCCACGTGACAGTAAGCATCCATAACTACCTACATAACCATTGTCACTCTATATCTATATACAACCCTACTAAATAAAACAAAGGCCAAAAGGGTTATGAAATAATAATATGTGACCTTGACACTGCTGGTTCCATTACCTTAGCCGGCCGAGGCCGCCTCCAGGAAAACGTATCCACCCCCATGTTTGGATCAATTTTGGCGACGACGATGCTGACCACGTGTGATTCCGCAGAACACTCTGTTTTGACTGTCATCCGAAAACCGCCGCAGATGAAAAAGAACGAAACTCGCACCGGCTTCGATCGACCACCGGGAGTTGGATGCCGAGAGTTGGGATGGCGAGTTACGGGGCGGCATAGCAAGGAAGTGACAGGGGATGCGTTGCGTAACTCTCTTCTCAAAACGCGGTTCCCTGTCACGGAGGATTGGGAGTTCCGGATACGAGCGCTGCTTTAATAATAGAGATGAGACGATATTTTCGCTCAGCTTTACTTTCAGATGATTCTCTAAACGAAACTGAACTCAAAGCAATTTATATGCAGTGAATGGTGTTTTAAACTAACAATTTAAATTTTCCCGCAAAAACTGACTTACAAATATGATGACGTCACTCCTATTATCTGACATCACAGAAGTTCTTGATATTATCGAAGAGCTGTTTTAGAACACCGGTGTTAGATCTAAAAGAATGTTGTTAGGAATGACAATATTGATAAAAAATTGTTGGAAAATCTTTTCTCTAGTGGAAAAATCTCGTCAAGTAGGTTGACTCTACACTTCCCACGCAAGGCCCTTATCAATACATAAACGATCTACACAAACTAGACCCTGAGAAAAAAGTCGGTCAAACAGGTCCATACAATTGGTCCATAGACATTATTTCCTGCCTTACCGGCAGTGCATCTGAAAACGTCACTTCTCTACGATACCTAACGCGTCATGACGTGGTATCGTGGTACCGCGGTCAGAGCATAGAAAACAATATGCTGTTGCGCGGCAGATATAGACTAATTTACAGAGTAATCTATATGTGTGACGGATGTCTAATAGGTACGTTCGAAGGCCGTTTGATAAGTCAGTGACTTTTTGAATTTCCCGCGCAGTACCTTTGAATGCAACACTGCTGCCGTCAACTGCCATCTTTTATATGACAACTGTCAAAATTTGAACAAGCTATGTCATTTCATTTGAGTTTGACAGTCTCATAAATTCTAACAAAAATGGAGAAAAGTGAATTTCGTGTTCTAATTAACATTATTTTTTGCGTAAAAAAACCATCACTGCAACCAAGGAAAGGCTTGACAAATACTATGGGGACTCTGCACCATCTATTTCAATGGTGAAGAAGTGGTTTACTGCCCAAAAGAGGTCATCACACCAGAAATCGTGGATAACATCCATGGGATGATATTGGGAGATCTAAGAATAAAAATACGCGAAATAGCTGAGGCTGTAGGCATCTCTACTGAGCGGGTACATCACATTTTAGATGAATACTTGGACATGAAAAAAATATCCGCGAGATGGGTGCCGCGATTGCTCACAGTCGACCATAAGCGCAACCGTGTGACCATTTCAAGGGAATGTTTGGCGATGTTCAGCCGCAATCCGAACGAATTTATGCGCCGTTTTGTAACTGTAGACGAAACATGGATTCATCACAATACACCAGAAACCAAAGAACAATCAAGACAGTGGGTTTCACATGGTGAGCGTGCTCCAAAGAAGGCCAAGGTGGGTCAGTCAGCCGGCAAGGTTATGACCTCAGTTTTCTGGGACGTATGAGGTATCATTTTCAGAGCTGTTAGACATATTTAACGTTGCTTTGAAGCAAAAACGACCGCATTTGGCGAAAAAAAAATTGCTGTTCCATCAAGACAACGCACGGGTATACACGTGTGTAGTCTGGAAGGCAAAAATTCATGATCTGGGCTACGAACTGCTGCCCCATCCAGTCTATTCTCCAGATTTAGCCCCCAGCGACTACTTCCTATTTCCAAACCTGAAAAAATGGCTGGGTGGTAAGAAATTTGGGTTGAATGAAGAGGTCATCATTGAAACAAACGCATATTTTGGGAGCCTTGATAAAAACTACTATTCGGAAGGAATTAAGAAATTGGAAAATGCTGGACTAAATGTATCGAGCTAAAAGGAGATTATGTTGAGAAATAAAATGCTTATTTGCCGAAAAACATTTTTTTTAATTAAAAAGTCACTGTCTTATCAAACAGCCCTCGTAGAATTACCAGTGTAGGGAGCGTATAAATGTACCACCATAAAAAAGTTTTATTGTTTCTAAATTTTTTTATCAGGATCCTCTGAAACGTCAAAAAAGAAGTTTGAGCGGTTTTTAACTTTTTTCGTTTTAGATCTTTTTCTCTGTCGCCACTGGACCGATTTTCAAAAATTAACAAGGATTTTATGTGCTTGGCATAGTAGGAACATAGTGTAAAAATTTCATTGAAATCCGATCGGACAGGCAGACAGACACACCGACGGAAGTCAGTGAGATGGTTTTTCGTGATGCAAATATCATATAACATACAAAAAAAATATCTCATTTTGGAAATTTTTTGCGAGAACAATAATTGCCTGCCAGTACGCGAGGGAAGTAAAATCATTCATTTCACTGCAACTTACACTATTAAAGTACACGTAATGCATACCCATCAGGTGATTCTATGGCATAATAGGTGACTGTATCTTAAACAAAACTAACGCTATTAATGCTGATAGTACGTTCAGTATCGAGTAACTGCTTACTCCTGCTTATTGGTTAAAACCACTGTCAGATAAATCATCATTTTTAACAATTTTTCATAGCTAATATTTTCGCACTTTCTCTATTGCGTTATATTTTACTAAAACCAACTGACGGTTTTCCTCTCCATCCCAATTATCAACGTTGCTTCTCTTAGTACGGCCGTACACGTACGGAATTACTATTCCGAATAGTCCAGGACAATTAGACATTTTCTGGTAAAAATTGCAGAATACAGTTTTAAAACGAACAAAAGTTTAATTTTATCGGGCAATTCCGTGCGTGTGCGGCCGCGCTTACACATTCAGGTGGCTCGTCCCTTTGTTTTATAGATATGACTAAAAAACTGTTTTCATTTTTTGTTAAATGCATTTTTTGTGCATTTTATTGTGCATCTTTTCTTCAATCGGAACTTGTTAGCAAATATAAGTACAGCTCTGAAATTGTGCGTGAAAATTTCGCTTTTATGGAAGAATGAAACAGGTGATTACTTTTATTCTTATCACTTTGTCTTTTCGAAAAACCTTTGATTTTCTTGAAGTCTCGTCTCGCAGCAAGTTGGGTTTTCAAGAAATGCAAAGATTTTCGAGGAGAAAAAGTGATGAGAATAAAGAAAAAAATCACAATAAAAAAAATATTCATTTTATGACAAAATAAAATTGAAGACGATGTTTTTTAGAGTACTGCTACAAACAGGTAGTTGAAAAAAGGCGAAAAAAGGGACATGCGACCTTAATAACGTTCTTCAGAGCACGATAAATCCGATCTACAGTGATGTGAATGACAGAACTTTACGTAAGTTAGAAAGAAGACTTGTATACCGACGTACCACCGATATTTGCTTTTCAAGTTATCATTCATAATGACATCGTATTTTTAGCCTCGCTAAGGATATGACAATTTACCAGAAAAAAAAATAATTTCAGTTCTAGGTGTAGGTACCTATGTATCATGAAAGCTATGCTGCTACATTTCCGAAATTGCTTTGTTTTAGTCAAATAGTTTGCGAAACTTGTCATTTTTCACTCACCTCGACAACCTTGAGGTTCTCCTTGTCCAAAAGGAACTCCATCGATTTGTGCGGTCTATCTCTTCTCTCCTCACCAGATTGTAGAGTGAGTTGCTGTCTATTTCTTCCGCTACTTCCATCACCGAGGTCCAATAAGCTTCTCGCTTTGGTGCCGTTCGCGGACGTCACTACTGTCACTTGGGTATCGATGTCTGTTTCCAGAAGACCACCCACGCACTGCAACAACATCTCGAATTAGCTACATTGGCTATCAAAAAAATGGCGTCCGGTAGATTGACTTTATACTTCCAGCGGCTTCGTTAGAGGTTTCAAAGAAAACGGAGGAGGCAAATCGTTTCAAAAGGCGAAATCGAATCAGATTAGGTAGGTTCATTTACAGTATATTCAGATAAGAGATAGACCGGATGTAAACAAAAGGTTCGGGTGATTTTCACGCTAACGCCGCCGTCTCGACGTAAAACAGGAGCCCTCATTGATCAATTCGCAATTAAATGCCTATGCCGAGCGGCAGAGCAGTCGTATCAAGGCAGAGTCACATTCAGGTTCAGACGTGTTACGTATGTCGTGTGCATCATTGCAATTTGATATTTCTTTGGACGTTTTCGTTTGTTATCTTATTAAGTTGTTGAGTTTGTCGTTGTTATTGTTATACCTTGTTATTGATTGTTATTGTTATCAACTGCTTGCGCAAAATGCCCAGTAGTACAGATACTGCCGATGAAGTTGTAAACTCCTGTAGTCCACCTAGGAAACGCTCTAAAAACAGACACCTGAGTGCAGAAATGAAAGAGGTCATTTTGAATATATATAAGATCGAGCGCGAGGAGAACGAGGCATCAACCATCAAAGAAATTGTTGTGAAGGTTTCTCAGTGTTTAATGTGTTAAGACAATACAAAAAAAGTCACACCTTTTCTGAGCCAATGACAAGTAAACATCGCAAAAGTATTGTTAAATCATTGGATGAAGCTGATAAGCATGCGATTAGGCGGAAAGTGCATGAATTCTTCTTTAGGAATGAAATACCTACTATAGATAAAGTACTGCAGGAGGTAAATGGAGATACAACGTTGCCGAATTTCGAACGATCAACTTTCCATGCGTTACTGAAGCATTTAAATTTCAAATGGAAAAAACGGGGCCGTAATAGTTTACTACTGGATAGAAAAGAAATTGTGCTATGGAGGAGGGATTATTTAACAAAAATTGGGAAATATAGAAATCAAAACAGGAAGATTTATTACCTTGATGAAACGTGGGTAAACGCAGGGCACACTACAAGTAAAGTATGGGTTGATGATTCTGTAACTTCATCCAGGAGGGCCTTTCTAGATGGACTGTCCACCGGAGTAAAAAATCCAGCAGGTAAATACGAGTAATAGACAACAATCGGATGTTTTTCAAACCTTGGGAACAAGGTTCTAAACATTAATTCCAGGGGGCAGATAAAACATATTACAAGTAACAACACTTTTATAACTTTCGATAAAATGCGTGGATGTTTTATTGTCATTTTCATTTGTTAGAACTTTTTTAGGCCATGTTTTTATGTGTTTTCGATATTTCAATAATTTTTTAATATAATCTTAAAATATGTCGAATATTATAAACTTAAAAAAAGTTACTAAGTTTTATATTGTGTACCGTTCCTAATACTTCTAATCATTTTAATTCATACTTTAAGCTTTATAAAGTTATAATTTGTTAATATTAATATTTGTGCGTATTTCAGGTTCCTGATCATTCATTTTTTAAAGGTTTATAACTTTAAATTAAATTGTGAAGCGCTGAGTAATCATACGACGTTCAATATTCTTTCTTTCAATATGACTAAATAATCCCAATTATAGCAATCTGATACTCATGTCTCAATTTTTTTTCGCTGAATGTGATGAAAACATTTGAAAAAGGTTCGCTTATTGAAATAAATCTACACCAGTTAGTACTTCGATTTCCAGGTAAAGGGAAAAGGCTCATTATCTGCCATATTGGCAGTGAGGATGGATTTGTTGTTGACGGTCTGTGGTGCTTTGAGTCTAAGAAAACTGGAGATTACCACGAGGAAATGAATGGCGAATCGTTTGAACAGTGGTTTTCAAAAATTTTACCGAACTTAGAGGAAAACGCAGTAATTGTGTTGGATAATGCGCCTTATCATTCTCGAAGAATGGAGAAGGTCCCAACAACGGCTTCAGGGAAAGTTGATGTTCAAAATTGGCTCCGCTCGAAAAATATCAACTTTGAAGAAGCAATGCTGAAAGTACAATTATTAAGAATTGTCAAGGATCACAAGGCGGAATATCAAAAATACGCCATTGACGAAATGGCAGCAAGTCAAAATAAAACTGTGCTCCGTTTACCTCCATACCATTGCGAGCTCAATCCCATTGAGCTCATATGGGCAGAGGTTAAAAATTATATAGCTAAGCACAATACAACTTTTAAATTTTGTGACCTCAAAGGACTTTTCAAAGAAGCACTAGAATTAATAACAGCGCAAAAATTGGAAAACTGTATTAAGCACGTGAAAGACAAAGTTGAAAAGAGAATGTGGGAACTGGACAATATTTTAGAGGAACAAGTCGAGCCATTCATTATTGACGTTGGTGCTTCAGGCAGTAGCGATGATGAAAGCTCATCAAGCTCATCTTTCCAATAAAAGATGTCGTTCATCAAATTCTGTAAGTTATAAGTAATTATAAAGCTACTGTATTTTTTAATTAATTATTGACATTTTTGAACCCATTTTGGCAAAACCTATTCAAGAATCTACTTTCTGATAATGTTAAACCATGCACATTTTTTTACGTTTTGAACGTTTTAATTTGGTTACATATTTACCTAGAAATCAAAAAATATACTAATCAATATTCTAAAAGCAATTTTAAGAGATATACGATTATTTTTAATTTAGGCTAATTTAAACGCCATTTTGAGATTATATTCGACTGTAGTTCACCAAACATCAGGCGGCATCCGAAGCTGGAAATCGAAGGGAAAATTTTGAAACCCTTATGTATATTTACATCATTATATATTTCTTACCCCACCCCCACATGATCCTATATCCATCACCAATCGTATACACATCGAATTGTGCTAATTTACTACAAAGTTACGCAAAGCAGCATCTAATATCTAAAATATGTACTGCGTGACTCTTAATACGTCCCTGCCGAATGTTACAGCGTTCGATGATCACGTGGTCTTGTTTATGTCCGGTCTATCTCTTATCTGAATATACTGTAGGCATTATGAATCTTCGAGCTCTGCATATCAAACTATATCTATATAAAATAATTCTATCATACTTCTGTTTCCATGGCAGAGGTAGGGAAATAACATATGTGTGACTTATTATGTCTAACAGGTTCATAGTATCACTAGTATCATTTAATGTTCCCGTTTTTACGTGATCAGAAGCTTCTTAATAATAGAACGTCTTTGACTAATACTGAAAACATTACATTAACAACCTCCTCCCCCTACAATCTCTAAGCTCCAAGGTTCAAACACTACAATTTGTTTTTCGAAAATGATCAGCAGCCTCTGAAAGGTCAAAAAAGGTTATGCGATTTTTATTTTTTTCACACATGACCAATTTTCAAAACTTCCAAAGATTTATCCTTGTCATAGTAGTAACCTCGTGTAAAAATTTCATCGTCATCCAAGCAATACATTTTGAAGCTATAAGTAGTTATAAGATTAGCGGACAGCAGACAGAAATGAGTGACTTTATTTTCATGATGTACATGTCATATAACACCAAAAAAACATATCTCGTTTTAGGAAATTACCGCGATTAAAATATGTATATCCCCGACAGTAGTCATAGAAAGGTAACTTCATGCTCGATTGTCGCTTTGGGGGGTTGGACGTCCTTTTGGGAGCAGAAATACCTACCCCAGACGATCCTGGCGGTGCCATCTTAAAATTCTAATTATGGCTTAGCGCGATCTTGTGTGCTACAGGAATTAATACAGGAAAGAATAAATGAACCACCACTGGAAAAGACATATATACGAAACATACTGTCATTCTTACCATTGTTCTTGAAAAAGGCCACCGTGGTGGAGGAATTTAAACAAAGCTGGTGTTTCAAATTCGACCTTCACCATTGGTAACTCGGAAACGGTAAGAGATACCCCAAATGGGGGCAAAGTTGTATATTTAGGTAATTAACAAGATGCCACTTTCAAAGTTTCGAAATTCAAAGTACTTCCGGAGGGAGATGAACAAAATCGAATTTTCTCAAAGTCGTTTGCATTTTTTCCTGACTTTATTTGTAGTGGGATCAAAATCTGTTTTCCCTAAGTTTATTTGAGAGGACTTAAATCTAAATCGCATGTTGTAATTGCCGCTTTGTCTTTCGACTTCCATCACCTTCTTTGTTTTTTTCATTTGGACACTATATTGTAATTCTGTACATTTAAATGGATTTGTCAGTTCAACATTCAGTTATGTATTTTTTGCTATTTTGATCACTTAACAGTAATTTGATTTTCTCTTTATTGATTATAGAGTACCGATTCCTAAGCCAAACCCTTTTTAATGATTCTCTTTTGGCAAATTTCATAGTTTATCGATTGTATAATTTCACACGTATTATATATTTCTTTCTCAGCGATTCAGTATTGTGTTAACATCTTTTGTACATTAATGTTATAGTATTTTAATGACTATGTCAGAAACTTTGTCATAAAATATCGTTGGACCCTCGTAGAGTTGGTTCTGCCCATTGGCAGCGCCACCTTGTGATTTCCGTACGTACTAGCGGTATAGAGATAATTCGTCCTATCAAGATACCTTCTTCAAGGCCACTCATTTAACCTTCTTTTAAAAAGTTAGGTTTTCCGCGTTATTTACTTTTCTGCGGAGATTGTGGTGTGGGTGTCGTTTCATTAATTTCCAGATTCTGGGATATTAGACTCCCAAACACCAATTTATGGAGTAGTACCCTTTTATTTTGTATCTTACGTTTAGTTGTGTTGGTTTATGTGCTACCCCGTCCATTTTCTAATGGTATTTTAACCTTCAGCGGCAAGTTCTTTTTTGTATACCATCGGACCATCAATGCATGTCCTGAAGAAGTTTGTTCAATATCTGCTTCCTTTTATTGGAAAGGCATTACGGAGAACCACCAGTCACACTCCTCCAGCTTTGTTTTGTAGCTGCCTTGTAGCTGTTTCGCAGCCGATTTTGCTGGAAGCCACCCCTTTCCCTTGACAAAAAACCCTGATGTGAACAGGTAAAACATAATTTTAATTGGGTATTTTAAAGATATTAATGTATTGATTATTGCTAACTGAAATTCTTATAGTGTTCTTGATTTTGTTTGGCATTTTACGTATTCAAATATGTGGCAGTGCCTACATGTCACCAGCTTTTGGGCTTACTATATTATCTCAATCACGATTTTGAATTTTGAGCTGCCATAACTTATTTTAGAACAAGGAATAAATTTCTGAGGGTATGTCACCTTGGTACATTTTTATCTTTTCTTACCTTTGCTTTACTTTTCTTGTGAAATAGAATGTACATTATCTATCTAGGGTTTTTTATATATACCGTAAAGTTTTGAAACGAAAACTGGAAGAAGACCACTGGGCAGATAAGATTAGATTTAGGTGTTAAGATATTTCTAAAGTCTTCGTACGGTCTAATAATTTTATTATCAGGTAATTTTGGATAATATCCTTTCTTTTAGCTTGCACTCCAGTGGTGGAGCATATGTGCTGCTTGTTTTGAAAATAATTGTGATTCCTTTTTTAAATATATTCTTTTATTTGGCTCGCCGTGTACAATTAATTAGGTTTTGTCATTACTGTGAGATTCTTTCCTTTTGTGTGGGTTGTCAGGCAAAACAAGTTCCGATTAATGCCTCGGGGATTTGTTTCTTAATCCGTCTTAAGTCACTGGCGCTCGTAACCATCCCAACTCTTCGCTTTATTGACTAGACAGCTGTTTTACATTGATTGACCCTTAGATTTCATTTATAGTATTTTATTAATCAATTAATTAATAAAAAAAAGGAAAAAGGAATCGCACCACCATTTCATCTTGTTTATCAAAAAAGGGGTGGCAATTCAATGTTGGAAAGGAAAATGAAAAAATTAACATTTTATCGATGGTTATAACAATAATAATCATAAGTAAGCAGAAGTAAATAATAGCAGATATTCACAATCTTGTCCGTTATTTTGTAGGCAAAGCCTGACTCTACTCTGTATGTTGTTCAGCGCTCAGTTTATTAAGATTCTGCAATAAATCTGGTATACGAAACAAATGACTATCTGAAAATTCAATTTTTTAGGTAATTAAGGTTTTTCAATATCAATGTATGACATGTTATACATTTTTGGAACTAGAATTAAAAATTGTGTTTATCTATGTAAAAATCCAAAGTTGCATCTATAAGAAAAAATAAAGTTGATGCTGGAGGACAAAATGGAGTCCTATCATTATTGCCCTTTGGTCGTTGAGTGTATTTATCCTAGGATTGATTGAAGCATTAATCGTGTCATATGACCTCTATGATCTTTGATTTTATACCAAATAACCACCACGTGAATTTAACAAGATCTGTGTTCACTATGATCGCCAGTTCGGATTGGTGATTACATAGAAATCGACTGATACTGATGGAATAATCAGCAAATACTGATGGTACGGCACATAGTAAATACTGATGGCGTAACAAACATCGTCTAATCCTATAAAAATTTGTCTACGGCGTGAGTCGTTAGTACAAAATAATAGCATCACTATCACCCGGTGACCGTTGATTACATTTGACCAGTGATACCTCACATTAATCGTGTTGTATTACCTGTATAAGCTAATATCAAATTAACCATGGCCCATAAAAATTACAATTTAATAACAATAAAAAATCACACATCTATGTCATCTATAAGTTGAATTTTGTATAACAATAATTATACCATCGTCACTCCTTAGTCGTAAGCGTAAATCGCATCTCGTAACCTCTATAAGCTCCATGACCCGATAAAATCACAATTTCCACACTTCTAGTTGAAGAATTCCATAAATCACACGAGTTGTTACTAGGAATACTAGTAATACAAAAATAATACTAACCCTGTGATCGTTGAGTGCGTTGGCCCCATTGGTATCTGCGCTGTTCATCGCGCCGTTAGGCGACGCGTTCGCGAGGCTACTGCCGCCTCCGTGACCGCCTCCGGGGGTGGCATCGATCGTACGGTGGCGGCGATGCTGCTGCTGCTGATTGTGGCGGTGGTGGTGGTGATGGCTGCGCGCGCTCTGCTGTTGCTCCGGATGTGACGAAGACAGGGGTGGGCTGGAACAGAAAAAGGTCATTATAGGGAATGTCGGATACAATCGAGGTTGCTTAATCCAGGATGTAGCTTCGCGTCTGCTTGGAACAATATTCTCATCCTGTTTGTGTATCAATTGCGACGCTCACCATTGGGATCTCGGATACGGTAAGAGCTACGAAGTCGCTTAAATGGGGGCACACTTAGAAAGTTTCGAAATTCAAGGTGCTTTCGGAGAGAGACGGAAAAAATGAATTTGCCCAAAAATTAGTGGCATTATTTTTCCAAATAAAAATAGTACCCCACTGTTTTTTTTTCGAAACGCGCAATTTTACGAATTCTACCTTCAGTTTGTCACAAATAATTACTTTTGTGTTTTTTCCTAGAATGTAAAAATAAAACAAATTAGATCATTCGTAAAGAGCCGAGATACAATTAGTTTCAAAATAAAATATGAGGCCTTGATAAGAACTTGACGTTTCTTGGGAGATAGTTTGTCAAAGTTTTGTGTTATACGGTTGTTATAGTTACTATACTACAACTATTTAAAACTGTAATGACTCATACGCGTGATCAACACGTGATCAGAGCTCGATCCCGGCTTCCTTCCAGTACAGCCGTATAGCGTACGACATATGTCGTTTCTGTGGCTTTGCGGTGGTCAACAGGACAGACAGAGATGGAAATAATGGCTGATTGTTCTCCGCCGGTAGAACCAATGAAATCAAAGACGCGCCTCGACCGGCAGACTCATAGGCGTCGGCAACGCATTGGAACGTGTTTCGTTGAGCGATCGCATATTGTGTGTTTTTATAAGAATTTTTGTGTGATTGTTATTGTTGTGGTTTCTGTGGTTACTGTTTTGGTTATACTTAACCATGGAGAGTACAAATGGCACGAGTGGAAGTACTGAAAGCCAGGGAACAAGTAGACGGCTTCGTAAAGCACTGAAGAGGGACGCGAAAGAAATCGTGCTCAACGTGTTCAATTATCTGAACAGAACTATGTCGCAGGGAGATGCACTCGCGCGTTGTGAAAGTATGACAGGCGTTCCAGAGTGGACCATTCGCAGGGTGGTGCATGAAAAAAAGAAAACTGGAGCTACTACTGATCCAAAGTTTAATTTGAAGGGACGAAAGGCCGTTAAATTGGATGACGATAGCAAAATGGCGTTAAGGCGAACCGTACATTCATTCTTCTTTAGGAATGAGATACCAACCCTCAAGGCTGTACATGCAGCGATCAAGGAAAATGAAATTATACCCCAAATGAGCGTCGAGGTAATGAGGAAATCCCTGTACGAAATTAATTTTCGTTACGAAACGCGTAATCGGAAGTCAGTATTGATAGAGAGACCTGAAATAGTCGCCTGGCGTCGAAACAAAGCAGAAAAATCTATTATTTGGACGAGACATGGGTAAATGCAGGTCACACAGTTAAAAAAACCTGGATAGACAAAAACGTCGTGAGTAACCGACAAGCAAGCATTGAAGGTTTGTAAACAGGTCTTCGTGGACCGTCAGGGAAAGGTCAAAGATTGATCGTAACTCATATTGGTAGCGATAGTGGCTTTTTAGAAGAGTGTGACTTGATTTTCGTCTCTAAGAAAGGAGGTGATTACCATGACGAAATGAATGCCAGCTGCTTCGAGAGCTGGTTTCAAGGGGTGCTTCAGCGAGTTGAGCCCAACTCTGTGATCGTCATGGATAATGCTTCCTACCATAGTCGTCGAGCCGAACGTATACCGACTATGGGATCTCGAAAAAGTGACATGCAGCAATGGTTGCGCGAAAAAGGAATCCCGTTTGACGATTCATGTGTGAAAGCGGAATTGTATGAAAAAATTAAACAGCACAAACCTGCGAACATTAGTTACGTGACTGATGAGATGTCCCGTCAATGTGGTATCACGGTGCTGCGGTTACCGCCCTACCACTGTGAACTGAACCCAATAGAGCTTATCTGGGCTCAAGTGAAGGGTTATATTGCGCGCCATAACATAACCTTCAAATTACCAGACGTTAAGGTTTTACTTGAGACTTCCATACAGCTAGTAACGCCCGAAGCTTGGCAGAATGCTATCTGTCATGTTGTGAAGGAAGAAACAAAAATGTGGCAGCTTGACCACCACATCGACACCATCATAGAGCCAGTTATAGTCAATTTCCACGAGGAAAGCGATAGCGACAGTTTATTACTGTCAGATGTAAGTGGAAGCGACGATAAATAAAGGTAATTCCCAAATTTTTGACTTACAATATGTTTCAAACCATTCTTTATTAAGCATGTGACAAATCTAGTTCACCCATGTTAAACATTCATACCCCGCCTATGAACAGCCGACTACTGGTAGTTAAGTGATGTTCACGTGAACATCGATGAGTCATTACAGTTTTAGATAGTTATAGTATAGGTTACTACTATCATTTTTTTTTGTAAAAGTCAAGTCAAAAGTTTCTTTTTTCCATTTTTGAGTGTTGTGAAATTGAATTCAATGATGAGTACGCCAATATTATTTTAGTAGTACAAGTACTAGGCGGTTGCAGTACAGTTACCATGTTCCCAAAGTCTTGCGTGGAGAATTTTAAATCGGGAAATTGTACATCCTTACCCGGCGACGAAGTGCAACGGCGAAATTTTTGTAAGTGGTTACTACTGCACATGCATAATTAAAATGAGTATGCACGTTTTGCCACAATGCTCAAATGCAAACTCGAATTTAGCTTTTCTAGAGAATTACTTAGAAAATGTGTTAAATGAAGTTCCGTAGGCAACGAAAGTACGAATATGGTATCAGCACGACGGTGCCCCACCGCATGTTCGTCGTGAGATAACCCCATGTTTAAATAATCATTTTAGACTACGATGGATTGGCAGAAACAGACCCGTACATTGTCCTGCGAGGTCTCCAGAATCGAACCCCCTGGATTTCTTTTTGTGGAGCGCTTTTAAACAAATTAATACTGTTGATCAGTTACAAGAAAGAATAGATAATGCGTTTCATCAAATTCAAGCAACAACAAATTTTTCGGAAATACGTTTTTCTTTATTAAAAAGATGCCGCACTTGTATGCGCCAGAATGGTGGTCTTTTTATTGAAATAAAGCTTTGATTATCTATATGTTTTTATTTTTACGAATATAATGCACTCTAGGAAAAAACACAAGAGAAATTATTTGTAGCAAATTTAAAGTAAAATTTGAAAAGTATTTGGAAAAATAATGCCACTAATCCCCTGTATCTCCGGCACTGGTACACGTCAATTTTGAGTAGAGGCAAATATATTAATGAAAGCACCTATTAATCAAATGTGTGCAAGCACTGCAGTTTTTCAGAAATAAGAACCCAGTGTCGTGTCAATTTGTAGTTTCGCTAAAGTTAGTTTTAGGTAAATTTAGTACATTTAGGCCCAATTTCACCAACAACAGCCCGTTATTCTCCACCTATAGGGTAACAGACCGTCAGATACAGCGAATGAGCTTCAATTTCCAATCAACAAATTTTAGCAACCAATAGCTATGAAATGTTGAAAACAAAATACTGTCAAAGTATGAGATGACAACTTGTCATTGAAACATCACCAGCTTATTGAATATTAAGAAATTACATATAATTCAGTCAGAATTTTAAGAAATGTTTGATTTTTGAATTAAATTCATGTTTTAATTACTATTGTTGATTTTTTATTAACGTTTATATTATTTTCTTCAATTGATATGTGATACTGGGTGTTTTTTTTCTATAAACCTCTTGCAGATAGCCATTAAGCACCTACTTGATGACAGGCTCTACCAAAAGATATTGCTCGTTTCCAAACATTCATTCATTTACTTGCCGTTCATCAGAACCATTATGGTACCTTAGATTAATATTCCCACAATACCATTCAGGTTTTTTGATATCCATACATCCATATTGTTCGTTGTTCAGGAACTGAACAAACATCTACACTATATTCATAGCGATTAATAAATTCCCAAATATACGCCTTAAAGCTACCATCAAACCTAAAACCTGCAAAAAAAACTACAAATTTGCCATATTTTTCTTGTTTCACGAGTACACATTCTAGGTTATATTTATATTAGACATTATTTGAATACAGCTGATTATTGCATTTCAAGGAGTGACACATGTGTGGGATCTGTCAACTCTTGGTACCAGTCACAAATCACAAAACATATTATACTCTGAAGGTTTAATTCCATGGTCAATGACAACACGGTGACTTGTGTGGTTGTCAGCGGCCATTTTGTGAGGGTGCGACAGGGTTGCCAGATTGTGCATTAATATCCCGTTTCACCCTCCTGGTCCCAGTGGAGTAAGTTCCGCCAACTGTTGAAATATACTCTACTATGCTTTATAAGACTGTTCGTGACATTTTTCCAAAAATCATTGCACAACACTTGAAAAAATGCAAATGAAAATTTAAAATTATTTCCATGAAGCCGCAAAATAGCTCCGTCGGTACCTTGGGTTATACATCTTGACAGTAGGGATGTTCGATACGATCCTATATTTAGAAGTATCAATACATTTCATGAGTATCGTCATCTTTCGATCCGGACTGTGTCAGAAAGAGTGACTGCCATTTGGCTGCGACATTACCCTGCCAAATCAGACATATCTTTCATCATTTTCAAAGAAATTGTACAAAATCTTCAAATTTGTGAAGTTAGCGAGTTTCACTTCATACGTTCTTACCAGACATGCCCAAATCATCAGTTGCTGTCGTGATATTCATCCCGACCACTGCATCCCCACGGCTAGACGACCTGTATGTTAAATTTGTATTGATAGGGCAGCGGGTTATGCTATAAATCATATGTCACAGTGTTTGTGCACTGATTGCAACGGTTAGATGATACCAAAAATATTTGCATAAATAGGAGATCTTTCCCATTCCGGATCGAGCAATCTACCAAAGATGCTTATAATCATGATTCCTAGTAAATTTTCACGAAAAAAATTCAAAACCAGCAAATGTAAAAGATTCATTTCGCACCCTCCACCACGTGACGTGATCGTCGTTAGACTTGGCAACCCTGCGAGTGACAGATAGATATCCCCGCCAGACAAAAAAGAAAAATAGACAAACAATAAACATTACTAGTTTTTTGATGTGTGGACTTAAAAGCCATTATCTGTGAAACATTTTTCATAATTTTTTGTCTATGTCGATAGTAATTGCATTATGCATCAGGGAGATGTAGGGATTGACACGTCTTACACTTATTATCTGTGTTTTAGGATGGAGAGGAGATAATGTTTCTATTGCTTTGAAGAAATTCATTAACCCATAAATTAATAAATGATTACTATTATGACGTAAAGTAAGATGAGGAATTGGATGGAATGTATTTTATATTCTATTTTCTTGCAAAATACAGACAAATCCACACACTCTTCAACAGGTATGTAATGATAACTTTCAGTATACTGAAGTTGGTAAATTCAAGAGTGCCATGCATTAACAAACGTCCAAATCTGCTGCCAAATTTAACAGCTAGAAAATCGACCTATTATTTGCCGCATTCCCATTCGCTGAGGGGGATAACGGATTGTTAAATGTAAACCTATAACATATATCAAAATACATGAAAGTTGTCCTGTTTTTTCTGTACAAAAGCATCATGTTGGAATCAAAAAGTGGTCTTGTTTATAATACAGTCGAATTTTCACGATTTTATTCAATGTTTCAATAAAAATCACTAATTTTCAGAGACCTTTGACAGCCTCCGTCAAATTGCATTTCGATAAGGTATTTTCCCATTGGTCCATAATATTAATGTTGGTAAAATTGGCCCTTAATGTTTTCTATTACCCATTGCTCGGTAAATTGTTTATACTGTTGGGCAATATATGCTTAATTATTATTAAGTTTAGGGATTTTTATTTTTTTCAAAAGCTATAAATCTTTTTCACCCTTGGCATAGTAGTAACCTTGTGTGGACAGTTCATCAAAATCCTAGCGATACTTCTCCAGTTATAGGTGGTTATAATATTAACGGACAAACCGACAGACAGAACGACAGACAGACCGGCGGAAATGAGCGACATGGTCTTTCGTGATGAACATGTCATGTACCATCCAAAAAACATAATATCTCAATTTCGAAATTTTTCCCGATTACAATACTGCCTGGCCAGTTGTAGCATAGGATGTAAGACCCTTAAATTTTGGAAGTGAGTAGTTTGCATTGTGACGTAATAATTGACTAGAGAATCAACTAAATGTTATGCCGCATTTGTCTGGTATGTGAGAATTAAATAATTGTTATCAGCCCTCCTACCTGTGATCGTGCAACTGCCCTCTGCTCCCCTGCTTGACACTAACATGCACTACCCTCGGGGGCTGTTTGGGCAGCGGCGGTTTTGCCGCCACAGCATGCGCGCCGCCCCCATTAGCGGCAGAGGCGGCAGGTGGCCGGTCGACGTTGCCATTGCCGCCGCTACCCGGGGGGCCTTTCAGAGGGATGTAAATGTAGTCGGACTTTGATGCCACCCGCTGCTGCTGTTGTTGCTGTTGCTGGGGTGCCAGCAGGGCTGCACCTGGAACAAAAGGAAAGTGTGTTTAGATACGAGGTAAAATATGGTGCTGGTTTATAAAATTAAATTGTGGTCATTCTTCAACGTGGAAGGTCGATGCCTACCTGACTTGACAGAATATGCATCGCTCAGAATTCTTTTTATACTAACGTATCCGCAGCGAGAGTGGTTATTAACAGACAGGGGTCCTGATATTTCTTGGACATAGAAGTACCAAAATAAGTCGATTGGACATAATCTACCTCTATTCAAAAGTGTTCGGCGTCGAAGTTTTCCTTTTAAAACACATTTTTCAGATATTTTTGGAATCGATAGTTCGATTTGGATGCAATTTGGAATACATGTGTTTTACTAGACGTCCTAATATTTGATTTTTATGAAAAACCCGAAAGGATCCAACATAAATTATAGCAGAATTTTTTTGCAACACTCCTAACGGCTCTGAATCTTCAAAAGATCCTTTAGTTTACCTCATTTATTGTTTCTTATAATGGGTGATTTTTTTGCTAGTATCTTTTTGGCAACACTGTTTTTGACAGATGACGCGTGAATCGTGTTTTGTGTAATTGTCAAACTTGTTCAGTTTGGTCTATAATTTAACCATGAATCGACTTACGAACGAACAACGCTTGCAAATTATTGAATTTTACTATCAAAATTCATGCTCGGTTAAGAGAGTGCATCGAGCACTGCTTCCAATTTATGGGCAATTTGGTCGGCCTACTGAGGGAGCTATTCGGAAGCTTGTGACTAAATTTCGAACCCAGTTTACATTATTGGACATTAAACCACCAACACGCAGACGTAGAGTGAGGACTAAAGAAAATATTGCGGCTGTATCCGCCAGTGTTAGTGAAGACCGTGAAATGTCGATTCGCCGCCGTTCGCAGCAATTGGGCCTCTGTTACTCCACTACGTGGAAAATTTTGCGACAGGATTTGGGTGTAAAACCTTATAAGATACAGCTGGTGCAAGAATTGAAGCCACACGACCTCCCACAACGTTTCCAATTTGGTGAATGGGCGCTGGCAAAGTTGGAGGAAGATGCACATTTTTATTGAAAACTTGTGTTCAGCGACGAAGCTTATTTCTGGTTGAATGGGTACGTTAACAAGCAACATGGACGCATCTGGAGTGAAGACCAGCCAGAAGTATTGCAAGAGCCACCAATGCATCCCGAAAAAATCACTGTTTGGTGTGGATTATGGGCCGGTGGCATCATCGGGCCGTACTTCTTCAAAGACGGCCGGAACGTAACTGTGAATGGCGAGCGCTACCGTGCGATGAAAACAAACTTTTTTTTGCCCAAAATGGAAGAGCTGAACTTGGCTGACATGTGGTTTCAACAAGACGGTGCCACATGCCACACCGCACACGAAACAATGACCCTATTGAGAGGCGAGTTCGGTGAACAGTTTATCTCACGTTTGGGGCCCGTCAATTGGCCGCCTAGATCGTGTGATTTAACGCCGTTGGACTATTTCTTGTGGGGCCATGTTAAGGCTAATATCTACAGGGATAAACCAGAAACGATTGACGCACTGGAAGCCAATATTGAAGCATTTATTCGTGAGATACCGGCCGATATATTGGAGAGAGTGTGCCAAAATTGGACCTTGCGCATGGGCCATCTAAAGCGGATTTGCGGCCAACATTTACATGAAATAATCTTTAAACATTAAATTATAACGACCGTTCTATCGACTCAAATAAAGATTTAATCGTTTTTTCAAATTTTTTGTGTTTTTTTGAAAATCAAATCCTATACCTCTTAAAAAATCACCCGTTACAAACATGCCATCTCGCATAAATTTCGAGAAAAAAATGTTTCTCGGGCCTGGTTTCTCTAAAACATTTTTATTACATAAAGTGTCAAAATCTGATATGCATCTAGTTTGCGGAAATGTGGGATGTTATGTCAGTGTCAGATTATTAATAAGTAATGTTTGAGTTTATTTTTTATTGTTAATTTGTTGTTTGTAAATTAGTTAACGTTTGAGATTATTTTTGGTTAAGTTTTTGTTGTTCCTTATCTTTCTCGTGAATGTGAAATATTCTTTTGATGTTGTTAGTACTTGGTTTCTGCGAAGGTCATTTTCGCTAACTACGCTTAAAGAATTAACAAGACGCTTGGAATCCCCTTGACGCAACTCTCGAAAACTATTTGAGATGATCTGTTTTTATAGGAGATGAAAAATTAAATAAAAAGACATGCCAAATAAAAAAAATCAGAGTCGTCGAGAAAGTTGCCAAAAAATTCTGCTATAATTTATGAAGGGTTGGGAATAGTTTTCACCCTTCTCGAACCCCTTAGAGATTTTCATAAAAGTTAAACATTAGAACGTCTAGCAAATTCCACTCCTCATAGCACTGCTGGAACTCCGATACTGGAATAGCCTTCAGCTGGTCGGTTACAGCCGTTTGAATGTTTTCGACTGCCCCAAAATGCGTTCTCTTGAGGTGATTTTTCTACTTCGAGAAGAGAAAAAACACTATCCCCGAAGGCCTGTTTAGCAAGAGTTTCCGTTGTACTGTGTCCACGTTTGAAGCAAAAACCCGTTGCTTGAAATTGGTCACTCATTTTTAGGACACAAAAACTATTACACAAAAAAAATCGCTACCGTCAACCGAAAGACTTGAGCAAGAACTGTTTTACCAAGCGAACTCGAATAGACTAGAAGGAGCCAAGCCTGTATGTTTATATTGCATTGATTTTCGTCAAAACCGTGTAGTTTAGTTAGTTTTTAGCAATTTGACTACAATTACCTTCCAAAGTGACAAAAATTGCCTTCCAAAGTGACAAAAATTGCATTCCAAAGTGACAAACCAATACATCGGCGTTTATTTTTTCTATGGATATTCACGTAGCGGAGACAAAGAAACGAAAGAACAAAATATTCATTAACAGTACAGCATATACTCAGTGCCATATAAATCCGAACACCCAGTTTAAATGGTTTTATTTTAATAAAAGTTGGTGAATGTATTTATCTTACTGTAAATAACAAGTGAAAAAATTTTCAGCCTTATCAGTTGGACATTCCGTTTTTTATACTGCTTTTTTTTAATTCACTAACGCTCTAAAAATAAATATTTCAGCCGCAGTAAAGAATCAACGTTGGCGGATTTTGGTTCTTGACATCCTTTACGATCGGTTACGATGCCTAGGGTACGGAGACCTGTACGATTTCGTCAACTTAGCGAGTTTGATAGGGGCCGTATAGTGGGACTGCCGGAAGCTGGACTTTCTTTTCGGGCAATTGCAGTTAGAGTGCAAAGAAGTGTAGACACTGTGGTTAGGTTTTGTCAGGCATGGCTTCGAGAAGGCCGTACGCAAAGCGCAAGGGGCACTGGACGCCGCCGTAGAACAACAGACCGTGAAGATCGCCGCCTAAGATTATTGGCCTTAAGGGACCGTTTCTCCGCTACCAGGTCCATTGCAAATGAATGGTTTGCAGAACACGGAAGACCTATTGGCATGCGAAGTGTTTACCGACGAATGAGAAGTTTTGGCTTGTTTTCATACCGGCCACACTAGGTCCTTTAACTCGAGAACACCGACGTAATCGCCTTGAGTGGTGCAGACAACGGTCACTCTGGGATCAGGAATGGAACAGTATTGTCTTTAGTGACGAGTCTCGATTTTGTTTAGGAATGCACGATGGTCGTGCCAGGGTTAGAAGGCGACGTGGTGAAAGGAGGAATCCAGTTCTTTGTTGAAAGACATGTTCATCACACTGTTGGAGTTATGGTTTGGGGTGCTATAGCTTATGGTTCCAGGTCACATTTAATCTTCATCAGAGGTAACATGAACGCGCAGCGTTATATCCACGAAGTTCTAGAACCCCATCTTTTACCCTATCTTGACACCCTGGCAGATCCAACTTTCCAACAAGATAATGCCCGACCACATGTTGCAAGAGTCACAATAGAATTCTTTCAACATAATGATGTCACATTGTTACCATGGCCACCAAGATCTCCCGACTTATCCCCAATTGAGCACGTGTGGGATATGATGGGTAGGAGATTGCTCAATTTGCAACGTCCTCCTCAGACTCTAGAAGCACTTCGAGATGAGTTGGTGGTTGCCTGGAATGAGATACCACAGGAGGACATTGACCACCTGATCAGAAGCATGCCTAGGCGCGTTGGAGAATGCGTAGCACATCAGGGTGCATCCACACATTATTAAAGGTCTTTAAAGCAGTGCAATAATCTTGAAATTTTTATCATTTACTTATTATGCTTCATTAAGTACTTATACAAAATTTTATTAAAATAAAACCATTAAAACTGGGTGTTCGGATATTTATGTCACTTAGTATATTTAATTCGTGATTTTGGAAGATGAACAATTCGGAACACTCTCTGCATCAAACAGCATCATTATCATTACATTTATTGAATATAAAGATGAGGAAATATTTTAATTAATTTTGTATACATAGTTTTTTTGCGTACTCAGCTTACACGTGACACTAAAATGAGATCGTAAAATTTCTACTTATAACGCGAAAGCACCTTTCCTAAAAACTTTTAGATTTAAGACTAAGGTAGATAAAATTAAAGTTTAGTTTAGTTGAATTAAAATTTCGGTTAGACGTTTTAGTATCTATCAAAAAATTATCTAACATTTTGCAATTCTGTTAACAAACCTTAGATTGGGATTGAGAGAGCTCAATGAAATAAAAAGTGAAATTAAATAAATCAAAGAGTACCTCACAACTGTCCAGGTAAAACCACATGTAGAGTTACATGCCCTTTCGCAATGCCGATATGCTCTACCATTGTCGGCAACTGTCTGGAATACTAGGATTGTATGGAACCCACGCACTTTCATGTGTTTTCGCAAAAAAGTACGAATTTAATGTGAAATGTGGTCGGACCAACGAAAGTTACGAGTATATTACTAGTCTGTTCAATGGCGAGCAGACCGTATCTACTATAGGACCAGAGTCATTGGCATCTAGCAGCCAAATGGTAACTCGGCTGACACTACG